AAAAATCGAAGATGTTTTTCTTGTTTATTTTTCTTGTACATGCTTAGCTATGCGTTCATTTGTTTACATCCAGTTTTACGTATGTATATGTACTTATACATAGCTAGCTTAAGGCATGTAAGCTTTTAACGGATATAGTCCAAACTGGTTTCCACATTTATGTGAATATATATATGTACATACACTTGGCTTCCGAAGTAATTCTTTACACTGTTTTACGTGAAATAGATGCTTTCAAACTCACCGCCTGCTGACGTGAGTTATGCGACATATTTACATTGAAATAAGTTTCCACTCCAATGATTTTAAATGAAACTGTTCAATCTGAAAAGGTACTAACTATAATAGGAGGGATTGCTTTTATGCTTGTATGTTGGAAGCTAGGGGCAAGGCGAGAAAATGCTTCATTGAACTTTAATGATTGCTCTTTCTTGTTACTTTTTCGCTTTACCGGAATTCTATGGCCAATTTTGTATTCCGAAGGCAAAGTGACAATAAATTTGCTCACTTTAAAACCGTGCGGGCAGCGAAATCGAATTAATAAATAATCCCATTTATATCGGTACAGCACATTTTTGAAACGTCGAATGCGGAAGACATTTATTTTGGTGACTTGCGACGACTTTAACAGAAACAGAATATGTAACTCAATAAAAAATCGATAGTACCTTTAACATATCGTATATATGTATGTATGTATGCACATACACATGTTTATGAACATTTTGTAATCCCTCCAGATGAATTCGATGAATGTGTGCTCAAAGGATTTTCTTTTGTTTTGCTATTTGTGCTGAACAAACTAAATATGCAATAAATTTATAATTGATGATATTCAGTTTAACGTCTACCCTTTAGAAGCCTTAAGTAAATGTACATACATGTGTAGATATGTACTTCTATTGACATCAATTGGCTATGTATGTACAGTTACGATCACTGAAATAGTAGTGCGCAGTTGTGAGATGCATTATGCCCTTGATGTCGCATACTACGCGATATTGGAATCGAGTTTTTTTTAAATTATCATCTTTAGTGTATGATTTAACTCTATGCAAATTTCAAACAGTTCAACAGCTACGGTTTAATTTTTTTATAGAAGTATCCCCTGTTGTGAACGGCATTTAAGGCGAGCAGTGAAATAGTAGCGCATAACAAAAAAAGTCGCAAAATTTAACTTCAATTGCAAATATTTTATTTTATGGAATAAAAAGTAAGTTTAATGACTTGATTTGTTATACATTTAGCCGGAATAGACAAAAACGAATTTTTGGAATTTTTATGGTACGAAGTCTGCACCGAGGTCACGAAAAACATGAAATTACTAAAATCCTTATTAAAAAATGGGGAAAACATATAAAGAAGTGGAAACAATTGGTGGATGTTCAGCCTCCATGATTCGAAATACGTTAACGTATCAAAGTCAACCTGAAGAACGGGGTGGTAAGCAGGAATTATCAACGACTAACATACGGCAAATTACTAAATATTCGAAGACTCGTCCCACAATGTCAGCTTTAGAAAGTTTGGATAACCTAAAGTTACCATGTAGTGTTCACACAGTAAAGAGACAGCTCCAAAAACACAAACTTTGTGCTACAAGTCCACGTAAAGTACCGCTTTTGAAAAAAATCATGTGATACGCAAACTAGATTTTGCCAAAAAACCCCTCGATTGGCCTATTCGAAAGCGGAGGAACATTCTGTGGACGGATGAGTCAAAAATTTTTATATACGGTGGTACAGGCTCGGCAGTTCGTAAGGCGCCCCCCCAAATATGGAATATCATTCAAGGTACACTGCAAAGACGTTGAAGCATGGAGGCCAGTATTATGGTATGGGGATGTTTTTTTCGTATTATGGTGTGGGGCCCAATATATTGGCTAAAAACTATCAAAGATCAGAATAAGTACGTAAAAACAATTAAGGATGTTATGCTTCCATTCGCTAAAGAGGAAATGCCACTCAAATGGGTACTAGAGCAGGATAACGACCCGAAGCATACAAGTAAGCTAGCAAAATTGTGATCTCGGGACAATGGAGTTGAAGTCATAGAGTGGCCAGCTCAATCTCCTGACCTCAATCCTAGAGAAAACCTTTAGACCAACCTTAATAAAACCGTATGGGATCTAAAACAAAAAAAAAAATAACCACGAACTATGGGCCGCGCATGGCAGTCAATATGTTCCTCAGGAAAGATGTCAACGCCTCGTAGACTCCAAGAGAAATCGTTATGCAGCAGTGATTAAAAACAACGGTCATGCTACCAAATACTAAGTAATTGTGCTAAATTTTAGTATTAATATTAACATTTTAATACAAATTTAAAACTTTTTGTTATGTACTATTTCGTTTTCTGCTCGCAGTAGTTTCCATGAAAACACATCTTACATGAATTAATTTTTTTAGTGTTTATTTAAATAAAACTCTTTTGACCCCACATTTAGTTATGAAATTGTCCTTCAGTTTTTCAATATAATGAATGCAACTATTATTTTGGTTTTCTAGTAATCTAAAAATATGTTACCGTAAGTGCACACTACTATTTTAGTGCTCGCAGCTGTATGTATGTAGGTAAAAAGGGCTTTTTCGGCTAAGTGCTTGTATCAACCGCTAGTGAAGGCGATTTTAATGACTGTTTGCTTACCCCAGATGTCCTCCACACACATGCATAAATTATTTACTGGTTTACAAAGTGCTTATTTTGCACACAAATGTGCGTGCGTGCGTATGTTTGTATAATGGGCCGATAACATAGCAACTGAGCTCAAACTGGAACATTTGAAGCCGATATTTTAGGTAAATTTACAAAGTCATTTTCTTGATTATCCGTACATTTTGTTGAAATCTTCTTCTGCTCACTAATGTCGTCATATTGGACTTAAAGAAAAAAAACTTCAGACCATCCCAAAACGTGTCAATTTGTTCATAAACTTGTCCAGAATTAAGTATAAAATAAAAATACTACATTATAGATGAAGCAATTATCTAAATAATTGCAGTAGGTAGTTTTACGCTGAGGCCATTTTTTCCCCCGTAATCGATTGTTAAATTAAAATATAATTTTTTGTATGAAATATTTGTAGGAAAATTTGTTACTCATACGCCATGTATCCAGGCGTTTGAAAAGAAATTAAAACACCTGCCAGTTTGACTGAGCTCTAAATACATATGTATGTATGTGTGTAGGTTAGTGACCACATGTTGATTTTTTTAAATATGCGCAATGACTTTTAACTAAATAGTTTTTTTTAGTTATTTTTTATAAAAATATTGTCCAAGCTTTAACCAAAATCTTATACTAAACTTTATACACAATTTAAGACAATTCATCAAATTTTCATCAAAATTCGATCTTTTTAAACTGAATCTTTAGAACATTTTTGTGTATGCAGTTTTATAGCCCACAAATTTTAGTCTAATGTTGAGCAAGTTTCAAGCGGCTGAAAATCGCGTTGTTTTCTAATATTTTTTTTTTGCTGAATGATTTTTCCACATTTTTGCACATAAGCATGAATTTCTTATGAAATAAAATGCGGGAGGCCATTCGCAACAAAATTTCAAAAATTCAACATCAGTTTTTGTAAATTACACTGGTCATATAAAAAAAAAAAACGCAAAAGCAGTCACAAAAAAATTCTCAAAAATCAACGGGTTTTTTTTAAATTGAAACTTGCACTTCTTCGAATCAAATTGTATGGTCTATAAAACTGCATACTCAGAAATGCTTTAAAGAATAAAAAGTTTGAAATTTGGATGAACATTTGTTGAACTTTTGCATAAAGTTTGAAACTTTTAGTTATATGTTTTTTGTTAAAGCTTGGACAATATTTTTATTGAAAAATAACCGACAAAAATTTACTTGAAATATGTTGTAAATATTTGGAAAAAAATCCAGACATGGTCCCTTTTCTGAGTTACTGTATATGTATTCATATTTGCAATTTATTTTCTCTTTCCTTAGACACAGATAACTGTGTTTTTATAAACCCGCAACTGTCGAACTTTTCGCTAAACTTTAGTTTACATAAATTCAACAAAAATTACAACGTACGTATGTATGTATGTATGTAAATACACTCTATTGTTTGATAAGAAAAACCTCAGTCTCAGATTGTTGTGGATATTTTTAATTGCTTTTAATTTACTAGATTATAATGCGTTTACTGAAATTTCATTTTAACGAAATCTGCCTGTGCCTCGTCTCACGAAATCGTCGTTAATTACATTTTCATAAAGCAGTTCATAAACTTCATTGATGTACCCTACACTCTCTGGGCTCAGCTATTCCATGCAATGCACGAAATTTCACGGAAACGGATTGTGAAACTTAAAATTGTTTCCAATTGGAGGAATAATAAAAATTTTAAATTTTAAAATTATCATTACTCAATTTTTGGGTTCATCAACATATGCCGGCCCATCTTTTTTGCGGGTTTTATGGGCATACCTCTTTTTTTTTAAATTTAGGGTGTTTCGTCCGCCGTTAAGCTGATTATTGTTATCTAGGTTTGTTCGAGGCCGTTCTTTCCCCTCTTATTCGTTTAGCAATAACGTTGTGCGCCTTGAGACGATTTTTTAATGAATAATAATTTAATGCTCATTGAATGGAAGCAACAGTAACGACAATTGAGCCAGTAATGAAAATATGATACGAGTGCCTCCCGTTGCATGCTTTACCAAATTCGCATTTATATCTACTCCGGCTAAGGACGCCACTTGCTAAATTACGCACGCATATGTATAACGTTTTCCACAGAAAAAACACCGCTGCTGTATTAGAACAACTTTCCCTTAAACCAATTAAATTAAAATGGCGCATAATTTGCCGCATTTTGAATTTCAGCTGAAATTATATACTTACATAATTTGTGCGCGTACCTACATACATACATAGCTTGCCTGTTCACAGTGGGGGAAATATGTTTATTTTTTCATTACATTTAATTTCATGTGTGCATTATTGTAAAAGACGAAACAAATTTATTCTCTCTCTTGCAGTGATCGATTGTCAGGTGGGTGATTGGACCCCATGGAGCGAATGCGATGAGAGCTGCGGCACGGGAATCACATTACGAACGCGAAACATGACGCAAGCACCCCAAAATGGCGGAAAGCATTGTCCAACGTTGACACAAAAACGAAGCTGTCAAGGTTTTCGATGCCATGGCGAGCGGGGAAAACGCATTCTTCACGGTAAGTGCTAGCATGTTTGAATGTTTTTTTGTTTAAGTTTTACTGCTAGGTGTATCAGGCGGCCGATGTAGCCGAATGCTAGGTGCGCCAGTCAGCCGATAGGACTCTGGTCTGATTCCTCGTCCGACTCCTCGACCGACCAATATCACGTTAGTGTTTTTATAATAGCGGCCTTAGAGTGTACATATTTCTGTCATGTAAAACCATCAGCCATGCGGTGGCAACGTAGAACTGTAGATCACTTCATTTGTGCGAGAACAGGATTTTTTTTTT